CAGACCCATTTCGCTCACATCGTCTTCATGCAAACTTTTGGAACATATTGTCTATAAACAGATATCTGAGTACCTCGAGACTAATTTTATTCTTTGCCCGCAACAGCATGGTTTTCGTCGTGGCTATTCCACCTCAACCCAACTTCTTGAATTCACTCACGACATAGCTTTAGCTTTAGATAAAAGAGGACAACTTGATGCCATCTTTGTGGATTATTCTAAGGCTTTTGATAAGGTGCCCTATCATAAGCTTCTTCAGAAACTACAAGCGATTTTAAATAATACGTCATTAGTTAATTGGATCGAAGATTATCTAAAAAATAGGTCACAGTTTGTTTCATACCGGGATGTTCATTATAGCAATGTCTCAGTTAGTTCCGGTGTCCCACAGGGATCAGTTTTAGGACCTCTTTTGTTTTTACTTTACACTAAGGACGTCGCAAATGGTCTTCCAGTTAAGATTCGCCTCTATGCCGATGATTGCGTTTCGTACAACGAAATCAACTCGGTAGATGACCATGGCTTGCTAACTGACTCTTTTGAACAGTTTTTTAATCGGAGTAAAAAGTGGCAGATGGAAATTAATTTTAAGATATCTGTAGTTATGTCATTTACCAATAAGAAGGAACCGTCTGATTTTAGGTATGGTACTAGTAATATAATTGTGCGTCAAGTTCATGAATACAAGTATTTGGGTATTTTTTTCACACCTAGTCTCAAATGGGATGAGCACATCAGTTCTATTTGTTCTCGTGCTCTGCAAAGGCTAGGATATGTCAAGAGTACTTTAAAATTTTCAACTAGGGAAGTTAAAATAACGGCGTATAAGACCTTGATTAGACCTATCTTAGAGTATGGCTGTGTGGTGTGGGAACCGTATCTAAAGGGTGATATTAAGCAGATTGACGCAATACAATCAAAGGCAGCAAGATTTATTTGTAATAGATATGACCGCAATTTTTCTCCCACATCTACTATGACTGACATAGGACTTACGCCTCTTGATTCTAGACACGCTGTAGAACGGCTCAAGCTCCTACACAAAATAGTCAATAATAACCGTGCACTTAATCGGGAAAATACGTTAGTTTTGTTACTGAATCACGCAATCGAAGCTTCCATCTATTAAATATTGTACCGTACAGAGCCCACCTCAACTGTTTTAAATATTCTTTTTCCTCGAACGATAGAAAACTGGAATAACATAAATTGATCAGTTTGTTGTCTCGATTTTGATATGTTTGTATTAGAAATACAGTAGGTGTTCTGGTATGGTGCCTGGAATCTGTAATTGAAGTGTATGTGTTTGTTTTTGTACTCTTTTTATATTGCATTTTTCACGGTTTTCTAAGTTTTGCTTCGTAGGGTGTGTACATCTTTAATCGATGGCCTTTCTGAATGTATATGCATGTTTTCTTTCCACTCCTGCGATGACTTCATCGAGGTCGCAGTATTTTGAAATAAATAAATATATATACCGGGTCTTTTAGCGATGACCTTTAAAGCTTCCTACCTACAGGGTAATTGATATTTAAAACCACCAAGTTTTCGGCAACCATTTAACAGTCACCGCGGGCGTCAGAAATTACAAAAAGCATACATTAATTAGCTAAGTAATTACTAAATGTATTTGTTACTTTTTAATCATTGAAATAAACATATGGTTCTATTTAGAAACTTGTCAAGCGCCGTCGAAAACACCAATAGCAGTCAATATCAGGAAGTTTAAAGCGCGTGTGAAGAGTTGCGCTGCGCTGAAGTTTCCACTCGTGTAGCAGGAACAAAGATGCGATGCGAAAACGTGAGTATCATCATTCTGTGCGTTTTATGCAACGATCCTTGTGCGTGCTGCACCAGGAATAACTAGCTCAATCTTGCGCTTAACATGTGCTTCGAATCTTAAAAGAATTTGCTTATTTAGATGTTTACCATATTGAAGAGCAAGTCTCTAATTCGAACTATATGTTTATTTTTCTATATTTTAAAACTTAGCCCATGAGTAATTTTTTTTTAAACGCTTGGCGTCCGCCTTTACTGAAAGCTTTTTTCCCAAAGCAGTCTTTTTTTCCTCCCCCCCACCCACTAGGTATGCATTCTTAAGACTTTTTGCTTAAACAACCGGCATATGAAGACGTTTAATGCATTTAGCTGAGTATAAAAGAAAGTAATACGCGTGTGGAAACAAGTCTTGGCATGTTGTGACATGTCTTAAGGATTGAAGGATTTAAGGATTGAAGGATTCTGAGAAAGGAAAACAGCCTTTGGAGATATTCATCTATCAGTATTTAGGTTTTTTGTCTTAGTCCGGAACTCTATCTTGAAATATTGCAGCACTATCTGTGCAGAGCAATCCGAAGAAGAGTTACGTGCTGGTTTTTGGAAGCATCGTCACTGCCTTTGTACAACACCTTCGGTAAACCCAACAAGAATGCGCTGCCAGTGACGACATTACTAAAACGACCACCTAACTCTTTTCAGCGTCTTTGCGCTCCCGGCGCACTATCATCCGGGCATCGATCCCGGGCATCTATCATTTCAGGGATGGGCAAAATACATGCAAATATGTATCGAGATACAAATACAAAATACTTCGTCAAAAATGTATTTCATCGCAAACCTAATTACATTTCCAAAAAAAGCATTTAAGTACAAGATACAAATACAACCAAATGTATTTCGTCTCCTCCAAATACCTTTCCAAATACATTCCTCAAAATTTGCGTCAGCGACTTTAGGGAACCTGCAACGAGTTTCTGGGTATCTCATTTTAATTTTGCATCGCACACTCGGGAGTTAGTGTGCGAGGCTCTAGTAACGTAATAAAAATATAATCACACAAAAAATGTAATCAGCTTTGACGTAATAGGTGAAAAAAGTACAGAGCTTCACGCAGCTTTTTTTTTGTCCATTACATTTTGGTATTGACCAACAAAGAACCGAGACGACCAAGAGACGCAGCACTAGCTAGAGAATTTTTTATTGTAGCAACTCGCACCACCTACGAAAGTCTGGACGACCCGCGCATTTCGAATTTTCCAGGCAAAAATATGGATGGAAATCAGACTGGAAAGCATCACAAGTTGCCACAGGCACTTATTTAGCTAGTCTGCCTGTGAACGTTGATTTCCTCACTATTCTTGCCCTGGACTAGCACCGTAATCACAAAGTCACTAAACGCTTGTGCTTGATTGAGAGACACTGAATTCGGTGCAGAACGTAGTTTTCTTCCTGCTCTGGACAATGGCAATAAATTTGAGGGATGTATTTTCGCCCACAAAATTGTATTTAATTACAATTCTATTTGAAATACCCACGTTTTAGTATTTAAATACATACGTCAAATACATTACCCAATTTGTAATTAAATGACAAATGCAAAATACACAAAGTATTTGGAATACTTGTAATTGAAATACTGCCCATCCCTGTATCATCTCTTTATTATTTGCTGCGTAAATTAAGCGCTCTCAAATATGTTGGTTCTTCACAAACTCTATGCTAATCACACCGTTTTCCGGCTATCTTTTCTATAGACAACACCAAACAAACAATCTATAATAATTGCCTTCTATACTATAATTATGACCGATTAAACTATCAATTTTAAAGTGATTAGACTTTTATTCTTATTAGTTTACTCATTGTGGCTGTTATTCTCCCGCTTATTGTCCGCCGAGCACAAAAAACACACTACAGAGAAGGCATTCATGCAGGTAAAAGCCATCCTTTTTTTTTAAATTAAAAATATCACCTTGGTTATATTCATGTTGAAATTTGCGTAGGGAAGGCCTTGATCCTGTAAATTTAGCAATTCTTATCACGTGCAAGTGCAAGTAATGTAATATCCCGAGAGGTACCCCACTACCGAAAGATAATCCACCCCTATTTAAGGCACGATTTGCTATCTTTTATAAACATTAAAAGATAACCCACTTCAGTAATCGCACGGTCCTGTCAAATGCTGACATCGGGAAAAACGGTATTACTTAGCCAAGGCGGGAGATAAGCGAAAATTCCTGACTGGGAGGGACAGTCGTCTGGTTCATCACCCCTCTCTGCAGTGGCAAATTCCGCAGATCACAAAATCCAAAACTACAATTTTTCCAGCTTTTACTTTCACCCGATTTGCTTTCAATTTCGGGCGGGGCTATCTCTAGGAATATTTCGGTATACGGCTGGCGTGTATTTCAATATGTGATCAAAATGAATGTCTAATAAAACACCAAACAAAGAACTGCAGAGGAAAGTGTTCAGGCCCGCTTCAGAAAGGCCAACTTTTCCAGCAAGTTTGAGGTTGCTGGCGGGTTGTCCCCTAGGTTTTCCCAGATCGACACGAATTGCTGAGATCGAGTCCGGCTCGAAACGGACGAGCAACTGGAGCAACTGGGAGACGTTTGAAGCGGCAGCAGTCAATCAGGGACGCGATATTTTCACGTGACACCCCTGTGGTGGTGATGATGACAGCTGAAGACTTGGTTCTGGTTTTAAATTGATCGTTTTTGGAAATAAACGTTTTCAGAAAGATGAGTTAGTATTCTCAACGCCGATATAAAAACACGTTTTAGCGCGTAGCTGTGGAAATAGTGCAGGAAAAATAAAATTGAATGATGATGATGGCAGGTCGTAGCAATTCGGTTGCTGCGTGCTTGCTGTTGCTGCGACGACAAGTTGCTAGGTGAAATTGTCTGAAGCGGGCCTTGCTGGCGGCCGGGCCTATAAGTGCGCCGCGCCACTATGGAGAGGGTTTCTCTTCTGGCGTTTCTTGGAACTACGCCGCGCGAGAGACTATGGGAGCCTCGTTCCTTGATCACGCGCGCCAGCCAAGGGGAGCCTATCGATCAGATTTCAGCTACAGACGACAGACTTTGCTCCATTGGCACAGAGGAAGATGCAGTTTTGCGCGGCTTCAAAGCTGATGACGTCGGTTTGCACCATGGGGCAGCTAATGCTTTCGCATTAAAAATGCGATGTTAAGTGTAAGGAAAAAAAAGGGTACTCACATCTGACTGCCCAGGGCTCCAGTGCCCTGATCCCACGCATAAACTTGAGCAGCCCTATCGTGCAGCTGGTAGATATGTCCGCCTCCAATATTTTTCTAGATATTCCCGCCAGGTCTGGAGACTGCATTGCTTTGTCCATGAACGCTGTTATGGTGTCCATCATGTTAGGTGCGTGCGTCGTCGCCGACGCATCATTGTCCACTTCATCGGAGCAGAGGACGACACTACCAAACACGCAGGCCACAAATACGATCGTAGCTTTCGGCCTCATGGTCGGTCACTTTCTGCAGAATTGATAAGCTTCAAGCTTACTCAATTGTCGGCTCCCAAGCTCACGGTCCTAAAAAAAATGAACAGAGGGAAGCGAGACTTTTGTACTTGCCGGCACACTGTGTTAATTGCTCCCGCTATGAGGTGAAGGAAGCAGAGAAAGAAAGAAAAAAAAAGCAACCGTAAATTCTCCTTCCCTCCCCCCCCCTCTCTCCCTCTCCTCCCCCCCCCCCCCCTCTCCCCCCCCCCCCCCCCCCGGACTAGAGGTGCTCTTTCCAGCTCCGTTATTTTCCGGCTTTAATGCGTGTTCGAGTATATCGTCTGTCCCAGCACGAACCGCCCAACAAGTCACCAAGGAATGTGATTTAACTACGAATAAAGAATAAAAAGAGAAAAGGGAAATAATTTCCCTATCGGTAAGTAATAAAAATAACGTATAGGATTTCGGTACCAGTGTTCTTGGCGGCCGAAGGCGGGAAACCGTTCAGGCAATTACGAGCGTGACGCAGGTGCGGGCATTTCAGCGCATTTTTTTTTTTATTTTCTAGCCTCCGGATAACCGCACAGAGATCAAGGTCAGGGCGATAGTGGGCGGCGTCAGCGGTTGCGTAGCAGCTCAGGAGCCACACCGTACCGCTTCCATCTTCGGCCGCGAAAGGATAGACGCGGTCTTATTCATCGGGAACATTTCCACACTCGCGATCTTCCGGAAAAGTTTCCATGCGGCGCGTACCCAACTGTGAAGGTTGCGTAAGTTCGCGCGGCTTGAGTTTCAGTATTCAGAGGAGCTACATTGATTACATTTTGGCGGAATGCTACAAGGGTCAATTTTCTTCGCCGATGAACAACGAAATAATGATTTGGCGACTCGGACAGTCTGCCGCAAGGCAGCAATTGTCCACAGACACGTTCTTTTGTGGCTAGTGGGAGGTGCTCACTCGAATATGTGATTCTAGGAGTTGAACTTGAAGCCTGCTGGCAGGGTTTTTAGTTTTGTATGTCTAAAAGAGGAGGGTCATGACAAATTCCCGTCACACGACGCCCGAAAAAATACATTCAGTACACGATCTTTACGCTAGATGCTATTCCGCTAAATTAGCTGAAGTCACACGTCCGACGAATTTTGATTTAGGATTGATGATGACTGCTCTGGGACAGACCAGTACCAACCTAAACCAGACACCCAGAACATATAAAAAGTATTTATACCTGTTTAAAATTATATAGAGTGCCAACGGTAGTTTTACTAACGTTCTACAAATGGATGTCCTCACCAATACATGTACACACACAGCGGATACAAGTTTTCATGTCATGACCGAATTTCCGCTCATATCAAGAGGAACCGTTGGGTATATCCGGCAACCGGGAGAATATGCCAAGTTATTATCATCAACATGCACGGAGTCCTAGAAGAAAATAAAAGTTGCACATTTTCTTAATCGGACGTTATTTAAACCTAAATCTAAAGTTTATACAATACGAGCAGTGTACCCTTAGGCATAGAGTAGAGAAAGCTCCTTTTTCAAGGTAATGGCCATCCGTAAACCACTGAAAATGACATTTTAGCAGAAAGGGCACCTTTGGCACCCTATCGTATGAGTTCCTACTCCTTTTAAGAGAAGGCCTCTCTACTCTAGGAGCATAGGGCGTCCGTCGACAGGGCTGTAATGACTCCATTATTTTTTGGGCGACAGTGAAATGTCCAGAATATCAGTTCGTAATCAATGTCTCTTCTTAGTGATGTGTCGTTTAGTTAACATCGTTTTCGTCGCAGACCTATCGTAGTCCAAATAACACGTTACTAGGTATTTTACACTGCACATTCATTAAGTTACTTGTTAGTCAGATGAAATGCTTGATGTGGCATGCCTGTGGCAATATATTGATGTCATTTATCTTACCTTTTTACATAAGCAAGAAAAGTTTCAGGTGAATTATTACATAGCAAAATAGACCATTGGGCGAGTTGGTAAGAGTCGCGCTGTAAGTTATGATTACTAATTACAATGGAAGAATGACAGTGCACCTGTTCCCACTGACACTAGCCCAGATAGAGGCGACTCCTCGCTCTAACGTTTTAGCCGAAAGCTACAGTAAGCAACAGGCAGGCCACGCATGCCGCAGAGGGTTGTTGATGTAAGCTACAGAAGGCCAACGACTCTTCGAATCATCAATGTTAGACAAGCCTTGAGCTGACTTTCTTGTCGGCAATGCAAGCCTAATGTTCTGGTGTTCTTGCTCTGGTGCTTTCTAATATTAGATAAAAGCACCATATGCTATGTACCGTGAAAATATAAACTTTTATATGTCATTTTAAGAAACAAAGCCTTCGAGCGCTCTGTAGAGATTCTCGTCACTTCTTAACGAATCTTTTGACTTTAAGTATGGCCGACTTTTAACCAATCTCAGAGTATCAATTGTCAATATTTTTTATCGAACACGTATATATATATATATATATATATATATATATATATATATATATATATATATATATATATATATATGAATAGTAAAAAGACTTGAATCCAATAATATTACTTTTTATCACCTATAAGCACCCATTTTAATAAATTATTCTATATCAATATATCTGTGATGGTGGTCTCATGAAACATCTTGAATAGGAGCGATGGGCGAGGGGAAGTTCTGCACTGAGCCGGATTTGAATAGTCTAAACTCTAAGCGCCAATTAGAAAATGACACGATATCTGGGGCAGAATAAAGCGGCAAATGAATGAACTGCCTATAAAAACAAATCTTACGTAAACTTTGCATCCTGCGGCCCAAATATAGATTCACTAAGTCCTCCATTTTCGTACCTTTTCTAAACTTCAGCTGCTATATTTTGTGCTGTTTTTGGTATATGTTTATTGCATCACGTCTCCCCAGTCCCCTATGTCATGTCCGAGTTGAAATTTAGGATGCACAAATAAGTAACCTATTAAATAGATACACAGCGCAGAATTCAGCTGTGCTGAGTGTGGGTGGAGCGGAAGCTACCTAAGTGACTGTCCAATAGCACCCCCGCAATGTACCTCGTAGCTGCTCTCTTAGTTATATTATATTGGCGACAGACACGCATATTTATTGCAATGTCAATGGTTTATTGGTTCATCAAGAACATGGCATTCACTGTGCTCTCAGTTTTGAAGATGGCGTGCTTTTGTTTCCTCGAGCTTATTCTTCCCTTATGTTCTCTTAGTAGCTTTACTAACGAACCCTTCTATTGTGAGTCACCAACTTGATAACAACAACAGCGTTTCTTTGGTTTATTTACTCCGAGAAAACCCCGGTACGGATCTCTACGTTTTGGAGGGTACTTCTTTTGCGCCGCCGACGCAAAAGAAGAAATAACTTTTTTGTTTTCGCAAATACAGTTTGTTCTGCATTTATAAGATTTTATCAAGTGACTAGTACGTGCTCAACGCTACGACACTCCAAATCCCGGACACTTCCCCCGCAGTGTGATTTTCAGCAAAGTAGTTTACACAGCGGTACTCATGCTTTGCGACGTAGCCTTCGCGGGGGAGGGGGGGGGGGGGAATCTAGAAATTACAATAGAGTTTGGCAGACAGAAGGGGGAAACAATACTCGGATATGTGTCACATGTTCAAGCAAAAAAAAATCATTACTAGGAACAATTACAGTACGACGGGGTTCCAAACATTTCGCGACTTGACCCAGCAGGAGGCGATAGAGATGAATGATGTTGTGTTACTTTTGGTCATAGCCAACTTTGAGATCCCGCACTTCTCCCAACGATACTCCAGTGCCTGAATCCCCCCCCCCCCCCCAAAAAAAAAAAAAAAAGAGAACTCGGAAGCTTGTTTTCTTTTAAATGCCGGTCACAGCATCAGTGACGTCATCATCACTGAAAGAGCGAACACCTGAAAGTTTCTTTTTCGGTTGGCGGAAGAGATGGCAGCCTGATGATCCAAGATCTGGTGAATACTGTGGATGGTTGGCAACAGAAAAACCGCCGGAGTGGATGGCAGCCATCACCACAGCAGCGCGGTATGGGGCCGCATTGTCCTGATGGAACAGAGCCCCCTTCCGGAGCATTACTACGACATTTGGTCTTGATTGCATCCCGCAGGCGGTGAATCAGGCTTGCGTAGTAGTTCCCGATGATGTTGCATTTCTAAAAAGTAACAGCTGAGCAGCAGACCTTCGGAGTCCAAAGACAGTGATCATCACGTTGGGTGCTGATAGAACAAAGCAAGCCTTCCTCGGCGGTCGAGAGGAGTTTTTTTTTTTTTTTTCTATTCTGTTTAGTCTGGGCTTTGCTGCCGGATTAAAGGTGGAAAAACCAGGTTTCGTCTACTTTCACAAATCGGGCAAGGAAGTCTACGGGATGTGACCTGAGTAGCTCGACATTTTTCCTGGATGTGGGGTAGCGAGTGCGTTTGTGCCTGGTGATCACACGAGAGCAATCTTGTAACTCATCTGGCGGAGACCTTGTGCATGTTAGGATGTGGGACAAGATGTACTCAACTGTAATTTCGGAAATGCCTGTGACATGTGTAAATCTCACAGGCATTTTCGAATTTAATCAAACGGTTTCGAATGCGTTGCTACGGGAGCGACAAGAATAACTGATAAGGGCTATGCTTTGCTTAACTACTTAATTACGAATAGCTTTCATGATGATGTATCTTCCTCCGTTGTAATTAGCTCCGACAACAGGGACAATTTGCCTATACTTATTCTTAGAAACAAGCATTGCCGAAATAAAAAGAGAAAGCGTGAAGGCTTTAAGTTACGCACTATTACATTGCAGAGACTGTAGTTATTTAGGAACGCCATCGAAACCTCTAACTGGGATTTAGACAATGCTAACGATTCTCCCGGCAAGATTATAAGGTATTTTTGGAAACATTCCAACATATTTACAAGAACAACTTTTCATACTCGTTCATCAAGCCTGGCAAATATTGAAAAAAAAAAAAATCCTTTGCTCCCCCAAGATTTAATCAAAATAATTTAAATGAAACA